CACTACTCGCCATTAGAAATGGGTCGTCGTAGGGTCAAGGTAAAGACAAGGCCAAACAAACATACAAACACACAATCAGCAATGCTGAGTACATAAGCGTAATAAAACACACTAACATGCTTTCATCCTAACATCACACAACTTACCGTGCTGCACTTGTTTACAAGCATACAAAACATTCAACACCTAACTAGACCAATGCCAATGTTCATTTAATTTTGATTACACATCGAACGAGTTTCCTACCAAATCCCTGCCTTTAATAAACTGAGGTAAACTACACCAGAAGCTAACTGGGTAGGCAAATGTCTCATAAAGTGACTAGACGTCTTATGCATAATAATAATAAAAAGGAAAATACAGTGTCCTGTACTCCCAGTAGAAGTTATGGTCAAATATAAAGTCGCATAACTCCCCCCATATGTTCATACTCAAGGTATATACGTTCCAAGAGTTTTGGTGTGTAATCTCTTTCACGTTACGTTATTTTACATATTATTATACTTGGTGATGACTCTCAAACCATTACACAATCAAACATTACACTTCATTCAAGCAATCAAACATACCAATTTAATTCTTGAATAATTAGTGACCATATAAATTTAATAGTTGAACCCTTTTTAATCTACCTCAGTGTCAAAGACACCTTAAACGCATAATACGTCGCAAATCCTATCCCTCGGTGTTAGAAACACCTTAAGTGCATATAAGCACCGCAATGAAGTTTATTCCTGTGTACTAAGACACCTAATAGCTTAATTCCCATGCTTAAAGCATCAATAAATATTATATGAACCATAATAAAATTTCCTTTTCATATTCTAAACCAAATTAAACACTTAGTTTAATTAAACATACTCTCTATCATGCCAATAATAAAAGTGTGGTTTATAACCAACATGCCAACATTATTAATTCCAATCACCAATTCATCACAATTAATTCATACTTCACAAATAAATCACCAAATCAATCCAATCAACAAATTCCAACCAATACCTATCATGATACTACTTGGAATTAATTAAACAAAGCCTAGCATGCTTCTACATATTCAAATAATCACTAAGTACGCAAACGTACCTTAAATATGATCTCAAAATCACCACGACTAAATAAAGTCACTCACTTGAAAGTCTCCTACAAACCAAAATTATAAAGAAGTATTAATACCTCTTCCACACAAATTTCCAGCAATATATACTCACTTTAAATCACTCATAAACCCTCTAAAATAATCTGAAATTTTATTTAAAACCCTTACTTTTATTCCCAATTAATGGGTAGTTAAAAATCCTTTCAAGAAACTTAATTATAGCTTATATATAAAAATTCTAGAATTATTAAAACTTATAAAATTTCTGTAATTATGTTTTAAAACACCTATTTTAATAATTTAAATCATCCGCAATCAAATTCCATCAATATACATTAATTTAGAAACCTAGGGTTTTCAATTTGGGGCTTTTTAATTCAAAATTAAATATGAAAATTAATATACAAAATACTTATTATTAAACATCATAAAATCATCACAAAACCCAAAAACAATAATTAGATTAAGGTAGATTTAAATTAAAAATAAAAATAAAATAATTTTTTTAAGACCATCGGCGCACACAACCACCTAGGCTGGCTACTGTTGTGCCGCCTGGTGGCTGCTGCTGCCGGCGAAGGCTGGTGGTGGTGGCCATCGGCCGGTGGTGTCCGGCTGGTGTGTGTGGTGGTTATTAAAATAAAATAAATTAAATTAAAGGGAAAGGGGAAAAATTAAGGGGAAAAGAAAATAAGAGGAGAGAGAGAGAGTTTGCCTTTGGGTGCACTCCACCTTAAGCATATGATGGGTATTTATACCCCCTCTCAATCCCTCCTACTTAAAATTCCTTTACTACCCTTAATGATCCCTTTCTAAGTCAAACTAATATTTTGACTTTCCTTAAATACCATTGACTTTAAAATTACCTTTTTATAAAATAATATGCCCTAATATTTTTAAATCATAAAATAAAATATTTTCAAGATTATTACATAATTAAAAATAAACTTTTTAATTAAAATAATTCTTTTTAAATTAATAAAAACCATAAATAATTCATTTCGAATTATTTAAATATTTTAAGAAATACTTATTTAAATTAAAATACGTATAAAAATACGGGGTATTACAGCCTACCCCCCTTAAAAGAAGTTTCGTCCCGAAACTTGGGTAACGAAATTCAAACTTTTTCCTCACTTTGTATAATATTGCTGTACTCTTTTACCATACTTTTGCCTTTAACATCTCTTTGAGATCAAAATTACTCGAAATAACCATTAAAAATGTGCAAAAAGCACAAAAACAACTGAAAATTCGGGAAAAAGCGCGAAATTCTACCGCATTCTACCCCCCTTAAAGAACACGAGTTACGTCCCCGTAACTCACCATACCTTAAACAACTCAGGATATTTCTTTTTCATCTCATCCTCAGCTTCCCAAGTTGCTTCTTCATACTCTTGGTTAGACCACAACACTTTAACAATCTTAACTTTCTTATTGCGTGTACTACGCACTTTACTGTCAAGGATCTTGACAGGTCTTTTCTCATAAGTTAAGCTTGGATCTAACTCAATAGTTTCAGGTTGTAGCACATGTGACTTATCAGGGACATACCTTCTTAATTGAGATACATGAAATACATCATGCACTTTACTTAGCTCCATAGGTAAGGCTAACCTATAAGCCACTTTGCCTATCCTTTGCACTATCTTATATGGGCCAATATACTTTAGGTTAAGCTTTCCTTTCTTTCCAAATCTCATTACACTTTTCATTGGTGACACCTTTAACAATACTTTGACACCGACCTCAAATTCCTCCTCTCTACGCTTCAAATCCGCGTAACTCTTTTGGCGATCTTGCGCCGCTTGAATCTTAGCTTGAATTTCCCTCACCTTCTTAACTGTATCCTCGATCATTTGAGGCCCTAAAATCATTGTTTCACTTATGTCGTTCCAACAAATCGGACTGCGACACTTCCTTCCATAGAATGCCTCAAATGGAGCCATGCCTATGCTTGCATGGTAGCTATTATTATAGGAAAATTCAATTAAGTCCAAGCTATCCTCCCATCCTCCTTGAAAATCTATAACACAAGTCCTCAACATGTCTTCCAAGGTTTGATGGTTCTCTCAGTTTGCCCATCTGTGACAGGGTGAAATGTTGTACTCATCTTAAGTGTTGTACCAAAGTTTTCCTGTACACTCTTCCAAAAACTTGAAAGAAACCTAGAATCCCTGTCAGACACTAATAACTTGTTATTTGGCATGATTTTAGGGTACTTTTGAACCTTGTTTTCGTTATTAATCAACATCAAAGTTCATTTTTTATCCTATTTTTATGCAAATTTTGTACCATCCATGCTTCACGGGTTGTTAGTGTTTTTGATGTAATATAGCTATTTTCAGCACTATGGATGTGATCAAGCATGAGTGAGCAAGAATAAGGGCAATATTGGTTGATAGAGCCATGGAGGAAGAAGGAGGAATTCCTTAAAGGGAAATAAAAAGCTTTTGGAGAACCTTGAAAGGTCGTTTGCGTAAGCGCTAACTTCAACCGACCATAAATTTTGATCTACTCAACCTTTTGAAGCGATTCAAATTGGAGATTAAAGTTCGTCTCAAGAGCTTTCCAAAGACTGGTCACAAGTTCATTTTCAACAAGAAAAAAAGAAGTTACAACCTCCCAAAGTTAAGCTGTCTAGGCAGGGCATTATGCATGGACGTGCAAGATGATGGCACGCCCGTGTAAGGCTGCACGTCCGTGCCAAAATCTGCACCCCTGTGCAGACCTTGGCAGTAGCTACTAACCTCTTTTTGGCCCTTCTGCACGTCTGTGCCAAACTTTGCACGCCCGTGTAGAGCCTTACACGTCCGTGCCAAATCTGGCACGTCCGTGCAGACCTACAGTCGAACTCTTTCCTCGTTTTTTTTGTCCTTTTTATTTGGGGGTCTGATAAATACCCCCCTTTAGCTCATTTGTACGAGATATGAATGTTTTTAGAGGTTCCTCTTAGTTTTGCAATCCTAGAACATTAAATTCTCAAATTATTACTTAGTTCTTAATTATTAGCTTGGAAATATTCAACTTAATCATTGTAGAAGACAAGTTTTACCATTGTTGCTCACTTTGAAGCTTCATAGTAACTATTTCTTACTCTTATTTTCCATTTCTCTCTACTTTGTTGTTAATTACTTGCTTAATTCTTGCATGCTTAGATTTTTAATTAGCTTAATCCTTAGTTTGAACTTGTTCATGAATTGTTTGAAATCTCTATTTTCTTTAACCTCCACGGATTGTGAGTAGTCTAATTTCTAGGGTTTGGGTAGAACCCTCAATGTAGTCACAAAGAATTTGTTGCATGTGCTAATTTGGTTATTGTGGGATGTTAATTAGTTGAGCTTAAGTGGTTTAATTGTTTAGTTCTTGTATATGGCCATTGCTAGAACTATTTATCCAAGCTTTCTCAACGAAGGATCGAGCGATGAACTTGAGTTATCTCCCTTATGCTTGATTGACTTGAAATGCCGTGAGAATAGGAATTTCCGGTCAAGGGAATGTTTATGTCATCGTGATTATGCTTTAACACTTGTTTTATGCTATGTAACCACGAGAGTAGGTTGTATTCATGATTCAAGTAATCCCTCTAGCTTGAGAGAGTAGTTGGGTGCCTTAGATAACTTCCCCTAATTTATCCCATTAATTTACCTTGATTGTTGCATGCTAATTGTGATTTGTGATGAAGTTGAGTGGTATAACCCGAGCCCTAGATTCCTCTTAATATTGTTAATCTCCCCTTAGATTTTAGTTGTATCGAACTAGTAGAAGTTACTTGAAACTCAACCAATTTAGACTTCATTTATCTTGTTTAAACTATAGTATCTTGGTGGTTGATTCAATGCCTCTCTTGGGTTCGACCCTTTCTTACCCTTGCTATTAGTTAGTGAGACCAAGATAGGATTTATAATTTTGGTAGGCTCGACGACGATCTATCAGACACAATATCTTTTGGAACTCTATGTAATCTCACCACATTTTTTATGTAAGCTTTTGCAAGTTGTTCCATTTTCCAGGTCTCCTTCATAGGTATAAACACTGCAGATTTTGTAAGTCTATCCACCACTACCCAAATGGTGTCGTTTCCACTCTTTGAATTTGGGAGGCAAGTCACAAAGTCCATTGAAATACAATCCCATTTCCATCCAGGAATTTCCAATGATTGCACAGTTCCTTACGGTCTTTTGTGCTCTATCTTCACTTTCTAACAAGTTAGACACTTTTCCACAAATTCCGCAACTTCATTCTTCATTCTGGGCCACCAATACACCTTTTTCAAGTCCTTATATAGTTTGTCTCCTCTTGGGTGTAATAAGTATGGTGTATTGTGACCCTCTTCCATCAACTTCCTTTTTAACTCCTCACATTTTTGTGGTACACACCAACGGCCTTTGTAGCTTAAACTCCCATCTTCATGGATCTTGAAATCCGTAGCTTTTCCTTGCTTTATTTTCTCACGAATCCTGTCCAACTTTACATCTTCTGCTTGATTTTCTCTTATCTCATCAAATTTTGTTGGTTGAATACTTAGATTCGCAAGTATGCCTGTTGGCACTCCCCATTTTACCACTTCTAGATTCATTTTACTCATCTCTCTACATAACTCATCAGCCACTATCAAAGTGTTTAATCTATGACTAGTCTTACGACTTAGAGCATCCGCGACTACATTTGCCTTCCCCTCATGATATTGTATGTCTTAAGTCATAATCCGTCGTATACTCTAACCATCTCCTTTGGCGTGAGTTTAAATCCCTTTGAGTGAAAATGTATTTCAAACTCTTAGGTCTCTATAAATCCTATATTTCACTCCATACAAGTAGTGTCTCCAAATCTTTAGCGCAAAAATGATTGTAGCTAATTCTAGGTCATGAGTAGGGTAATTTACTTCATGAGTCTTTAACTGTTTTGATGCATACGCGATCACCTTCCCATTTTGCATAAGTACACATCCTAGACCATTCTTGGATGCGTCACTATATACATCATAAACTCCACTGTCGTCAGGCAGTGTAAGCACTGGCGCTGTAATCAACTTTTGTTTCAAGAGTTGGAATGCTTCCTCACACTTGTCATCCCATTCAAAATTCTTGTCCTTTTTCATTAGAGAGGTCATAGGTTTAGCAATCTTCGAGAAATCTTTCACAAAACGCCTATAATACCCTGCTAAACCTAAGAAACTCCTAACTTCAAACACTGTTTTCGGCGTAGGCCAACCTTTCACTGCCTTGATCTTTGCGGGATCTACTTCTACTCCATCTTTGGACACAAAATGGCCTAGAAATGCTACTTTCTCCAACCAAAACTCACACTTAGAGAACTTTGCGTAAAGCTTGTTTTCCCTTAGTGTTTGCAGAACTGCCCTTAGATGTTCTACGCGTTCTTTTTTACTCTTCAAATACACCAGTATATCATCTATGAACACTACCACAAACTTGTCCATAAATGGATGAAACACCCTATTCATCAAGTCCATAAAGATTGCTAGAGCATTCGTCAATCCAAATGGCATTACTGTGAACTCATAATGTCCATATCTTGTTCTAAATGCAGTCTCGGGAATATTTATACAAGATATGGACATTAAATCAATCTTGTCAATCCAAATGGCATATACTGTGATCCTAAGTTGATGGTATCCAGACCTTAAATCAATCTTAAAAAATACAATTGCGCTTCTCAACTGGTCAAATTGGTCATCAATCCTTGGTAATGGGTACTTGTTCTTTATGGTGACCTTATTTAACTCCCTATAATCAATACACAACCTCATACTTCCATCCTTCTTCTTCATAAATAACACCAGTGCTCCCCAAGGTGATGCACTTGGTCTTATATAACCCTTTTCTAATAAATCCTGCAATTGCTCCTTTAACTTACTCATCTCTGCAGGTGCCATTCGATGTGGTGCCTTGGAAATTGGTGCTTTTCCTGGAAGTAACTCTATTGTGAAATCAATTGCCCTTTTAGGTGGCATTCTAGGAATTTCTTATGGAAACACATCTAGAAACTCGTTCACTACTTATATCCTCAGGCTTAGTTGTCTCCTCATGCTCCATATTCCTCACACTACAAAAATACACTGGATGTCCCTTCTTAATATAATTTGCCAACTTTAACACAGATATGATCCTTGGGCACTTAGTTTCACTATGCATCCAATATGTCACCGACTCATTATCAGTTTTAGTCATTTTCACTTTTTGTGATCTACAACTAATCTCTGCACTGTACTTGCTCAACAAATCCATTCCCAAAATGACATCAAAGTCACTCAATCCAAACTCAATGAGATCCGATAAAAACCCTTTTCCTTCGATTTCTAAAGGTAAATCTCTAAAGGTCTTGTTACACTTTATTACCCCACTCGTAGGAATAACTATAGGCAAATCTACCTCATCTACAATTTTCAAACGGTTTGGTAATTTTGAAACAATGACCTTTGAAATGAAAGAAAAAGTTGCACCAGAATCAAACAAGACTTTAACAGGAATAGAGTTAATAGAAAAAGTACTAGTGATGACATCTTCGTGGAATCAGCCTCATGCCTACTCATAACATTCAACTTTCCTACAGCTCCACCTTTTTGTTGCTGTTCCCATTACTATTGTTAGTTTTCGCCGCATTCTGTTGTGTCCCCTTGTTCCCAGAATAATTGTTACTTCCCTGAAAATTCCTTTGAGCCCCGCCTTGATTACTTCCCTGCCTGTTTCTATTGGGGTCCTTGGAGAAACATTCATACTCCCTGTGTCCTAACTTGTTGCAAGCACGACAAGTAACCAAATTCCCATCACAGTCCCTTCCAGGGTGGTCATTCTTACACCTCTTACAATAGAAATGCCTTGATCCCTTGTTATTTCCCTCGCTAGAGTTCCTAGCTCCACCATTAAAGTTCCGTCCACCTTGGCAATTGTTGCCTTGGAAATTATTGTTGTTGTGGAAGTTGTTGTTATTATGGTGGTACTTTTGCTTCATAAAGTTGTTCTGGTTACCTTGCGGGTTTCCAGAATTCTGTCCCATCTCTTTTCTCTCCCTTCTATCTCAGCTATCTCTTTCTTTTTCTTTAATTCTAAGGCATATAGGTGTGCAGCTCTCCATACACTTCATCCAAGGTTTCAAATACTTGACCACATAGCTTTAACTGTAAATCAGTAGTCAGACCACTCTCAAACTTTCTAGCCTTAGACTTTTCTGTAGAAACAAACTCCTTAGCAAAACGTGACAGCTCAATAAACTTGGTGTAGTATTCAGTAACTGACATATTTTCCATAGCAAGATTTGAAAATTCCTCAGCTTTTTGTTTCTGTAAGAAGCTAGGGTAAAACTTGTCCCTAATCTTCTCTTGAAACATAGTCCAATTAAATCCAGGTAATGCCTTAATGGTAGCTTCATTTTGCTGCCACCAAACGTCAGCTTCACCCCTAAGGTAATAGGTAGCACAACCTACTTTTGAGTTCTCTGGGAACCCTACTGCCCCGAACAGTTTCTCAAACTCCCTCAACCAGTTTTCCAGTATAGTTGGATCAGGCTTTCCTTGATAGGTTGGTGGTTTACTCTGCGCCACCTTCTTAAACAGTTCTCCTTGAGCATCTCCATTATTGGTTGAGTGCCTTGCCAACTATTGAGCAACAGCTGCCAATTGCCTTACAACTTCACTCAACTCTCCACCATCATTGTTGTTACCACTCACTCCTGCCATTCTTCCTCGCCTGAATTAACACAAAGGGGTCTTTATTAAATACGGTCTTGGCTAGCTCTCAAGTTAAACACTCACCTAACTAGTCAACACCCTTGAAACATACACTTTAAATTTTAAGCTAACAAATTGGAATTTAAAACTCCCAAAATTTGTAGCTTTTCAACCAAATATTGATTGCTAACCAACCACACATTTAATAAAGCATCACATTAATAAATAAAAAATAATCCCCATGGATTCCCAGAGTATTGAAATAAATCATTGGAATATTTTTGAGTAAGAAATGTCTTGTTGGAGTAGTGATACGAAATAAATGATTTGGGCACTAAATAAATGGTTTGAGTACGAAATGAATGATTTGTCAATAAAATGAATTAATTGACATAGAAATAAGTGAAATTTTATTGATAAGTAAGAAAATGAATGGAATACTGAAATAGAATGAGTTTAAGTAACTTATGCAACTATATAAGTTTACTGGCTCACTGTGGACATGCCACTTATTACTTTATTGTAACTGAAATAATTAGAATGCGGAAATAATTCTAAGAATCCTAAAGAAATGAAACTACAAAAATCTAGTCCTTGCTTTGGGCTTTTGTAATTAAATAATTTGGACTGGCCCAATTAGGTTGACTGAATTGGACCCAAACAACTTGCCCCCCAGACCCGATTCGGAAGGATGACGGATCGGGTTTTGACTTGCAAAATGGAGGGAGACAAATGATTGTAATTTGAATTTTGGAACTTGGACGGTTAATGAAGTTGTAACTGTCATTAAGGATAATAATTAGGGAAGTTAAAAGGCTTAATGGGTGGTTAACGTGGGAAAGTGTTTAACGGTTATGTTTAAGTGGAATTTAGTGGGGGGTTTTGGCGGTTAGACTCCTGGAATTCTTGATTCCAGCAAGCTTATTTAAACTTCCCTCTCCACTTTCTTTAATCACTTTTTCGCAACACTGCTTCCCTGAATTCGCCAACACCCTTGCAAACCGCATTTCCATTTCTCCCTTATTCACTGCAATTCCGAGCTTTAGACCGAAATTCGTTGCTCCGAGCAAATAGATCGGCAAATTCCGCGACTGGTAAAGGTAATCTTCTCCGAAACTTGTTCGGATTTCCTTGTTTTTCGAAGCTTTTCCCCTTTTTTTGTTTTCTCGATTTTTACGCAAAAATGGCTTGTGACCGAGGAAAAAGGCCAATGGTGGCTGAGGAGGAGGATCTCAGTTAGGGGCTCGGCGCAGCCAGCCACTTGGGCAGATGCCTCTCTTGAGCAACCGAACCTCCCTCCCTAGGAAAGAAGATAGGGTTTCTTTTGAGGATCCCCCCATTGGTGCGATACCACTGGCTTCGGTGCCTTACCGAGATTGGGAAGAGGCAAGCACTTCCAGCAGTGGTTCAGCGCATGGGCCTCGGCGACTGCCATCTAGGGCCACTGAATGGTACTACCCGGCCGAGAACTTTGGGCTAATGAACGCTGCTCCCTATGACTAGTGGGTCAATGGGAATGCCCTCCATCACTTCGCCGAGCAAATTGAAGTGTTTTACGGAATAGTGGAGGAAGATGGGTATTGGTGCCAAATGCCCGTAGCCGAGGACAGAATTCATAGGCCCCACCCTAGCTATATTAGGGTGTATTGAAAGGAATGGTGTCCTTTCAACAAGTGTATTATTTTGATAGAGGGTTCAGAATTATTAGAAAGCTAATTCTTCAGTGAGGTCAAGTGATCGGAATGCTTAGGTGGAGGCCGCTTCCGATCAGTAATATTAATATATAATTAATATTACAGCTTAATCTTGAATGAACCCTTCGGGTCGCACCCCAATCAAATAACCAATCTGAGACGACGAATCAATCCGAAGGATTAGATGATTCATTAGAGTATTACGAACAAAGATGTCGGATATCGAGCTTAGAGCGTCGAAACCGAGCGTCACAAGTCAAGTTAAATTTAGAATTCGACGAGACGTAGAATCAAGCAAGCGACAAGTACGAGCCAGGCCGTAGCCTCGCATTGGTCTAGCCATGCGAGTGCTAGGCTAGGCGAGACCACAAACCGCATGCATGCTTGCGTGCCAAGCATCGCCCAGCACTCGCACATCGCATAGCACGAGCATCGCAAGGTGCATGCCATGCGTGTGTATGCTGTGGCTGTGCGTGTGTATAGTCATCCCCTTCCTTCTTCCTCTAAATGGTCCTCACCTAACCTTGCTCACCATTTGCCACTTGGCGCTTTTTGATTCATTTTGCATTTTAATTTGTTTTAGATTAAAATAAATTGGGAAAAATGCAATTCTCCCACATTAATGGGAAATGGGAATTCAAGGCTCCCTTCCCTATAAACCCAAGTTTTGGGTTTGGGAAAATGCACTTGAGTTGAACTCAATAAGGCATCTCCTTGAAAGTGAGAAAACGTTTAAGTTCGTAATACTCTAGTTTTTTCTTTGGTCTAGCCCCGACTAACCTTCGGGGTAGAGACCGCTCGGGTCGGGTCGAGCGTGCGAGCCGTTGGAGGCCAACGCACTTGCGAGGCTAGAGCGTTCAAGTAAGAGCTCGTAAGCGAGTGAAGCACGCGTCGAGGGTAAGAATGTCTTTTCTCTTTCTCTCTCTTTGTTGTTTAATTATGTGATTACATGTTTAGTTACCTTAATTAGTGTGCGGGTCTTGGGCGGGTTTCATTCCTCGTAGTGTTGGACGCTACGAAACCCAACAACAGTATCGGAGCCGCGCTTACTTTAATTATTGTAACTAATAATTAATTGAGGTGATTTAAAATGGATTTAAATTTCTGGTTTTGTTTTCTAATTAGATTAGAAACTCGTTTTAATTAGTCTTAATCTCGTATTTTACTAATTTTGGCTCATGAACCTACATTTTGACCCAAAAGTAGTGAATTTTGGGTGGAATCGATGTTCTAAATCGTTTTTGACCCATTTATAGGGCTGTCCAGAAGCCAAAATCCACCTAGAAACATGTTTTTTTAGGGGTTTTTCATTTTTGACGAAAAATTTTAAATCTTTAAACCTTGATTAATTATGGCATGTTAAAGGTAGATTAAATGTATGGTTGCATCACTAATCTATTGCAATAATAAACCTCATTAAGCATGTTTAAGAAGTCATAATTGGTGCTTGATTTAGTAAGCTCATTTTTCACATAAACTTGAAATTACACAATTTTACAAATTAATTGTTTCAAGTGTGAATGTTTATGGTGAATGTGTAATTTTGAAGTCCCTAATATGTTAAAGATCCAATCTTTAATTGTTTATTTGGTTGGAACTTTGATTTCTAAATTCCATGTTGAACTAATTTTTGGATTTAATCATTTTTGAGTTGATTTAAGTTCTAAAAGTTCAAAACTTGTGATTGAAATTTAATTAATCTTCATATTGGAAGATGTAATATTTCAATTATACACAAGTTGGTGTTGGAAATTTTTTATTAGATGAATGGGTTTAAGTTTCCATCCTCTTTAATTTTATCAAATCTCATTGTTAATTTATGTATGGTTAAATTAATTGTGAGTATAGCCCTTCATTTTTGTAGCATCATGATGAACCTAAATTTGATTTAAAGAATGGTTATTGAATAATTTTGGTTTGTGCACTATAAAATTGAATTTATTTAAGTTAGACTTGTTATATTTTCATTCTTGCTCAATGTTGGTTCTAAAATAAATTTAGAATCAATTTTATGCCACACACATATCGGGATCAAAATCCCGAGACAAGTGCAAGCAAATCGAGGCAAGGATCGCTAAAAAAACACACCCTTGGGCTAGTCGGGCTGCTCACGCAACCCACATGTGGCTGCCAAGGTGCGTGTGTGGGATGCCTTGCCCCCTTGATGTGCTAAAGTGTGGTGTGTGCAAGTAAGTGCACACTTGGTGCTGCGGTATGTGTGCATTTTTGCGGTTTTGGTGCGGCACAAGGGGCAGCAAGCCAGCAACGCTAGCAGGCCACCCACAAGCTGCCAGCGCTAGCAGCATGCGAGCATGCGTAGCATGCTGCGAGGCTGCTGGTGCTAGCAGGCGTGGGTGCGCTGCTGGTTGGGCAGGCCAGCACCCTAGGCACGCATAGCCAAAGGCCTTGGTGCCTAGCAAGCCTAGCCCCATGGCTTGGATGCTAGGCACTCGGCCATTTGGTGGGCTATAACTTTGCGTTATTTGGGCCGTTTTAATTATTTATTTAATTATTTTAACGAGGCTAGGCCTCGGTTCCTCCGGCACTTGCAAATAATTTGGCAAAATATGGGTTAACCGGCTTAATTAATTGGATTAATTAAATTGGATGCGGAATTTAGTGGGAGCTTCGTTAATTACTTGAGCTAATATATTGCGTTTTAATCACATAATTGGTTAACAACTTTGACTAGTTTTAATTAGGTGCATTAATCGGATTAACCACCTAAGTTAGTTACTAGTTTGCGCGTGTTATTATGCATTGTTACTTGTTTTTGTTGTAAAATGCATGGGCCATTCACACATAGTGAATGGATGAATGAAATGTATATTGTATGACAGGTTTTGTGAAAATAGCAACTAGTGGGGCCCGACTAGGATAGTAAATATGGACTGCGATCTATTATGTATTTTTGTAAATCTAAATACGGTCTGCGTACCGTTGCGTATTTTTGTACCTTAATATTTAGATTAATCCTAGTAATAGTAACTAGTACGTAGTTGCATATTTGGTGGAGATGTCTCGAAGACGGCGTTTCTAAGAGGACAAGCCAAGAAGTTGCATTAAAGACCCATGGAGATTTGAAGACTCAAGGGGTCATGGTAGTTGCCAAATGCGTCTTTTACTTTTGTTATATATATATATATATATATATATATATATATATATATATATATATATATATATATATATATATATAATTGTGTTTATATATGATTGAATGGTATGATAGATGCATGTTTAGGATTTCAAACCCTGCGATGATTAATTAAGTTAACTTAAATCAACCAACATAGAAACCCTTGGTCCCTATAAAATTGAGCTAAAATTTGCCATTCCAAGAACAACACTTACCGAACTAATGTGCGTAGTGATGGGCTACGCCAAAGTGAGGCATCACTACTTCCCTAGGAACATAAGGTATACTAGGTATACAAGTTGGTCTTGGTTAATCTCAACAATATCCGTAAGGAGTCCTTAGATGTCGTGGCAATAGAGATAAAATGTCATGGAAGCATTAGATGCGACGTTTTATCGAACCAAGAGTAGCTTAGAGCTATTAGCAATTGGATTGCTTACCCCAAAATATTAAGTGCTAAGACAAGCCAAATCATGCTTAATCACTTTTTGATTTTTGGGATCTTGGAATCGTTTTATTCTCGCCTAAAAAGGGACTAATATTAATGCGTGGTAAAACGCCCAATAAGATTGAAAAGTTTCATGTATGATTTAAATTTCAAACTTATTGGTTTTATGAATGGTTTTTCATTTCAAATTCTTTCAATTCTAGTATCATGTCTGCATCGAACAACAACAACTCAATGTGCCCGGAACTCCCCGACAAGTTGATTTTTAGCCTTAACTTGGTCAACTTCAAGGGATGGGAAGAGGAACTCCGAAAAACTCTTCGGAATTGTTCCATGGAGTACATCCTTGATACTCCCATTCCAAGCTTCTTCTCTAAGGGAATCATGAGCGATGAGGCTCATGATGCATGGTCTTCCGATTGCAAGAAAGTCTCACGACTAATGGCTAATTCCATCCCGGAAGAATGGAAGGAAAAGCTCTTCTTTTATTTTCTGGACATGTTCCTTTAAACACTTGAGGACGTTGTCAATGTGAAAGAGTCTCAATGGCAACTATGATTGATGTGACTAGGTCACTCTCGAACATGAAGATAAAGCCACCGAAAAAAGGTTGTCTTGCTAAGGAGAGGTACCAACTTTGGTCAAGGGTCTGCAATAACAAATTGAGACCCGGTATGCCCCTCCAACCTTATGTGCTTAGAATGATTAGGCTCTTCAAGCACATGGAGCTTC